TTTCTTACAAGGATCAACAACATTCCATTCCATTTTTGCTAGGTAGTTCAGAAACTTCCTTCCTTCCTTCCTTCCTTCCTTCCTTCCTTCCTTCCTTCCTTCTTCCTTCCTTCCTTCCTTCCTTCCTTCCTTCCTTCCTTCCTTCCTTCCTGTTTTCCATTGACACAAGGTGACATTGCTAGGCCATTTGACGTACTATCTTCCCAAGGTTCTTGGCTGATAAGCATTTCCCCTTAACTTTTAATTTTGTTTTATTTAGGAGATTCGTATCCTCCACTATCTCTCTCAAAAGTTACTGATGTCAGTTTGAAAGACAAGCAATTCACCAACAATTAAAACAATAAAACCTTAACAAATGGCTGTTAAACGGAAACAGCAGATAAGAGAAACCATATGTTCTATGAGAGCATAAAACATAAAACAGCAATCCAGAAAGCTTGTCTAGCCCAGCATCCTGTTCCCACAGTGACCACCCGGAGGCCTGTGTGGAGCCTGAAAGAAGGACTCTTCTCATTGCCAGTCCCAGGAAGGCATATGAGTCTTTTGGGTTCAAATCCCTGTGATGGGGTGAGCTCCCGTTGCTCTGTCCCAGCTCCTGCCAACCTAGCAGTTCGAAAACACGCCGGTGCAAGTAGATAGGTACTGCTGTGGCGGGAAGGTAAACGGCGTTTCTGTGCACTCTGGTTTCCGTCACGGTGTCCTGTTGTGCCAGAAGCGGTTCAGTCCTGCTGGCCACATGACCCAGAAAGCTGTCTGTGGACAAACACCGGCGCTCTCGGCCTGAAAAGCGAGATTAGCACCGCAACCCCATAGTTGCCTTTGACTGGACTTAACCATCCAGAGGTCTTTTACCTTGAACTTTTTTTTATTATTGCCTCTGATATTGGAGTAAGGACACATACTCTCCAACATTTCTTCAAAGAAAATACGGATGTCCTATATAATAATAATAATAATAATAATAATAATAATAATACTTGTATTATTTATACCCCACTCATCTGACTCGGTTGCCCCAGCCACTGCTGTTGGGAAACTTCCAACATATATAAAAAACATAATAAAACATTAAACATTTATTTGTTTTTAAAAAATCCTAGACAGGGCTGCCTTCAGATGTCAAGGATCTACTCAGACTGAGTAATCCTGCCCTCACTTTTTTGGGGAGCAACTCTGCAAGACTTATGCCCAAGTGAGCATCCCTCAGACTCTCACATACACAGGCAAAAATGTTCCAGTAGGTTCATATGCAATATGAAGACAGGCAAACTAATGCCACTGTACTGGAAGAAGCACCAGTGTCGTAGCAATGATTTTTCAACATCAACTTCTTTCGACTGATCATGTTGTTTGGATGCCTAATTATCATCTTCCAAAGCAACTACTCTATTCCACACTTGAAAATGGAAAGCGTAATGCTGGTGGTCAACAAAAGAGGTTTAAAGTCTCTCTCAAGGGAAATCTAAAAATATGTAATATATACACCGAAAACTGGGAAACACTGGCCTGTGAGTGCTCCAGTTGGAGAACAGCCTTTACCAAAGTTGTCATGGGCTTTGAAGACACTCGAACTCAGGACAAAAGGGAGAATCGTGCTAAGAGGAAGACACGCTTGGCAAACCCTCACCGTGATCAACTCCTGTTCAGAAACCAATATCCCCACTGTGGAAGGATGTGTGGATCCAGAATTGGCCTCCACAGTCACTTACAGACTCACTGTTAAGACCGTGTTCATGGAAGACAATCTTACTCTGCTACAAGGGATCGACAAAGAAGAAGAAGAAGAAGAAGAAGCGATATGAAAACACACAGGTGACAGCGTGGACTGGTTTGTACAAAATTTTCCTGGAGTGGCAATCATCGGAGCGTAAGCTAACAAGCCAGGTCAGCTCAGTTTACAAGGAAGGTACTCGGAGAATGCCTGCAAGGCAGGTGACTCCATCTGACATTACCTGCCCTCCCCAAGCGGGCGGGGAATGGTGTCTGGTATCCGAGTCAGTTCCCCCAGGGCAGCTGTACAGGTGGGAGACATCAGCCTGAAGCTTGTTTGTCTCCTGCCTGGTGCCTTCCAAGAGAAGCGTGCTGCTTTCTCTGCGGAGGAGGGTGGGCCAAGGCGGGGACATAGCAAGGGTTTATGACTTTTAAAGAACAGCGTTCTTGCAGCAAGCGAAAAGGAGGTGTGGTTGGTGCGCATCTCCCCGACTGAAGGCCAATGGAAGCAGCCCAGCAGGTCGACTTCTCTGCACCTTCTTAAAGGAATGACATTGCAGGGATCTCTTTGTCTGCTAGCAAAATGGCCTTTGGTGGCTGGTGGCCTCTAGCACCCACCTGCCCCCCAACCAACACTCCCCACACCCACCCTACTGGTTGGGATAGAGTCTGAAGAACTACCAGAAGTGGTGGTGGTGGGGGGGAAACCCTCTGGGCTTTGCATCTGACCAGGAAAGAGGTGCTTTCAGGGTCTCTGTGGCCATCACACAGGGTCCCTGGATGTTTGACGGTCTATTGATCCCTGTGCCACCACTGTGATTGCTTTCCCGCTGCCACCAATCCGTTTCTCTCGGGTACACACAGAGTCCAGACAGTTGTTAACATTAAATCAAATAAGCAAGTTTATTTTATAACCATTAACAAGTTTATGGTTTCAGATAATTTTTCTTGTCAGTTTCTTAATCTTAGTTTCTTTACCGGCCTCTACCTTCCTAATAACTTCTAACTGATTATCCCAACTGTCTCTCTGACTCCTCCTAACAGTTTCTCTCACTCTCTCATATCAAAACTAGACCAACCCACAGACATATCCTCCCTCTTCCTTCTCCAACTCCCAACTAACCCCAACTCTACTCTAACTCCACCCCTTGGGTTCCCCCTGGCCAATCACTTCACACTCATTTAACCCTTTCCTTATGACCCACCTAGGAGGGCAAACGCCACAGTCTCTGAACGTCATTCTGCTTGCCTTGAGGGAAACTGTTGCTGCTTTCGCTATCTCTAGATAGTTTCTTGGACATTCCAAAGCAGATATTAGAACGACTTTGATGCATCAGATTCTGTGACCTTTTTGCGTCACGGGGAAACCTGTCCTGCCAAATCTTCCCGAGGGTTATTTTATGGATTTAAGAGATTCTTAGCCTTCTCAAAGCAGTTTACAGCCATATATCCCATGCAAATTCACGAGGTAGGTCGTGTTCGCCCACAGCAGCAAAACAGTAAAAGGGCCCTGTGGTGCCTCTTTTGAGGCAGAATGTACTTCTTGTGGCATATGCTTTTGTACGCCACAATATGTAAGCATTTAGATATTTCCCAGGCAAATTGCCTCCCTCTGTGGCAGATTGTATGCAAAGTGGGGGAGATCTCTGTGGCAAATTGGATGCAAATCACCCCCTCTCTACTCATGAGATTCATCAAGTAAAAAGTGTTGAGAGGCGAACCATGATCTGCATGGATGAGCTGGAGGCTGGACTGTACTTAATTCACACTTCTTGAAATGATGTATGAACCAGAATGCAGCTGTCCCTCAAAATCCCCAATTCTCAGAATTTTGCAATGCAGTTCTCAAACTAGAAAAATAAATAAAAGCGTGTGAAAAAGTGTATGTCAGCATGCATAAAAATGCATATATTAATGAAAATGCATTTTTGTAAACCGCTTTGAGGTCTTCTTTTTACAATCAAGCACTGTATAATTTTTATTTAAAAAATAAATATTAGGAGGAGCTACTTACAAAGGTGTCTTTATTGGCCAAAGCAGCATACAGAAACTGAGTATGTTAAGGGAAATGCAGACTCAGATGCTGACAGATTTCCATAAGGACTTTTTTCTTCCATTTAGAAAATGGCAAAGCGATGCCAGAATGTGACACACTTAACTCAAGAGGGCGAAAAAAATGAGAAACCAAAACTGACAGATTCATCAACCTGTAATACCCATTTTTGGTGACACCACCAATCAAGGGGTAAAGTGTTTTTGTATTTTTGCAATGACTTTTCGAAAGGTTCGCCTTTTATTTTTTTATTTTGTTGCTGCCATTATTTGTGTTTGCCATTTTATGGTGTCCGGGGTAGCGACTCTGTTTTATACTGTACCTGAGAGCCAAGAACACCTAATAAATGTTTATAACATCAGTGATGATCTCCTTAGGGCTGAGACCTGTTTTATTGGTGGTGCTTTGAAGAGCACCCTGTATTTTCCCCGCATTGAAGAAAATAACAACAAGCACTATAATTCCCTCTAATAGCAAACTTAGATGTGAGTGCTGACAGCTATGCAGCCCAAAAGGAAGGGATTGGCATATTTGAGGAGACATAGTATAGGAAGTATGGGACGCGGGTGGCGCTGTGGGTTAAACCACAGAGCCTAGGACTTACCGATCAGAAGGTCAGCGGTTCGAATCCCCGCAACAGGGTGAGCTCCCGTTGCTCGGTCCCTGCTCCTGCCAACCTAGCAGTTCAAAAGCACGTCAAAGTGCAAGTACAGCGGTACCTTGGGTTACATACGCTTCAGGTTACATATGCTTCAGGTTACAGACTCCGCTAACCCAAAAATAGTGCCTCGGGTTAAGAACTTTGCTTAAGGATGAGAACAGAAATTGTGCTCCGGCGGTGTGGAGGCAGCAGGAGGCCCCATTAGCTAAAGTGGTGCTTCAGGTTAAGAACAGTTTCAGGTTAAGAACGGACCTCTGGAACGAATTAAGTACTTAACCCGAGGTACCACTGTAGATAAATAGGTATCGCTCTGGCAGGAAGGTAAACAGCGTTTCCGTGCGCTGCTCTGGTTCGCCAGAAGCGGCTTAGTCATGCTGGCCACATGACCCGGAAAGCCGTACGCCGGCTCCCTCGGCCAATAAAGTGAGATGAGCACCGCAACCCCAGAGTCATCCGCGACTGGACCTAATGGTCAGGGGTCCCTTTACCTTTACCTAGTATAGGAAGAGGCCATATATTAAGTCAGACCATTGGTTCATCTAGCTTGGTATTATCTGATATTTCACCTTCTAACTGGGATAGCTCAATCAGTCGAGCAGGAGACTCTTAATCTCAAGGTTGTGGGTTCGAGCCCTGTGTTGAACAAAAGATTCCTGCATTGCAGGGGGTTGGACTAGATGACTCTCTGGATCCCTACCAACTCCACAATCCTATTATTCGATGACTGGCAGCAGCTAAACAGGATTTCAGACACTGGACCCCTCCCAGATCTACCTGGAGAAACTGGGGCTCAAACCTGGGACTGAGCTATGGCCCTCCTCCAAGTTTGCAAGAAATCTTTAAGGGAAAATCTCTTACGGAAGCCCCCTCCCTTCAGAACTATTCCAGCATCTTAAGGTAATTCCTGAAATTTCCAGCTGAACTTGAATGTGAATTAAGTTTCTTTTGGCGTGGGATGTCATCTTAATCTTTTTAAGTATATGATGAAAAATCTAACTTGTTGCATTAGACTTTGAGAACATAATTATAGAGACAGTGTTGGTTTTTGTTTTGTTTTGCTTTTGCTTTATCAAAGTGGAGTTAGTTCACTGACTATTGTAGTTTTATATCAAATACCTCCAAATCTCAAGTATGGATTTTCAGTACCTTGAGCTGAGGAAAGCTGAGTTTAGAAAAGGCATCCCAACAACACTTTCTTTAAAATTTTGGTTTGATTGTATTGTTGGCAAGATAACAACAAAATAGTTTTGAAAAAAGAATATTTTCTACTTCGGCACAGGACCTTATTGAATGTCGGGTTTCCATTCTTGTGTTTTTCCTCTGACGATCATTCAGATGTACGTACATGAAGTAAACTCCCCATGAAACAAGCTAGTTCATTTTGTCAAGGGACAAACATAAATTGGAGCTGGTTCTCTTTGGGACGTGTTGAACTATACCTAGTTCCTCTTCAGAATGAACTTTCCAAGCTCTGCCAGGAACCACAGGATGTTGAGGATCATCTGGAAAAGAAGAACAGAAAACTGGAGGGGAGGGGAGCTGAATGACGTATCCCAGAGGAGCACATGACTGGCTTGGCTGTCGCACTGAACAAGAGCTCTCCTATTAAGAGACAAGGACATTATACTGTTGCATTCTGTTGCAGATCCTACTGATACAAGAAGCTTTCATTATTATGCAGCGAGACTTCTGCGCAAAAAATAGGTGTATTTCCACATCACCTTTTTTTTAAAAAAAAAATATCTCAATTATAAATGGAGGAGGAAAACAGGTGCCTGGTTTTGAAAGGGAAGGAATAGTGCAATGCCCATTGCACTCAACGTCTCGCAGGTAGAGAAGCAATGGATTTTGAGGAGCAGCTACTAAATGAGAGGACATCTGTTTGCACCTCCCTTTCGCTAGTAGCTATTTGAAAGCTTTGTCTTCCCCACATGCTTTGAGAGGACCTGGGGGCTCTTGCTGTGTGCTTAAGAGACCCCCTGCTGCCGCTTGGTGACCGCATCAGGGTGAATCTTAGCCTAGACCTTGCCGTGACCCCTTGGTAATGACACCAAAGGGAGTTCATTAGGAGCAGGCACCCTCAATGCCTCTGCAAACCAGTAATTGTGCCCCCTGTGGTCTGGGAGCATTGCTCAGCAGACGCGATTCCTTTTTTTTCTAGGCTGATTGCTAGCAAGGGCTCTGTAATGCTCTGCTATGAACATCAGCTTTGGATGACTGAATCCTGCCTTGCTCCCTGCGATAATCAGGCTGAGATAAAGGGATGCATCCTGTTTGTTTTATCCTCTGTGTACACATGCCCTTCCGTATATATCCACAGCAGGCATCTCACAAACTGGGGATGTGACTTTCACTTTGCTCACTGCCTGCATGTGCCTTGAATGGTGGGTGGAGCAACTCCTATGAGGAGAGGTTACAGCATTTGGGGATTTCTTTTTCTTTTTAAAATTTTTTATTTGCATTTTCAAAAACAGGAACAGAGAACATATTTAACCCCCTCCCCTCCCTCCCTCTGTCCCACTTACAACTTCGTACCAAATAAAGCATGTACACATACACTATATGACTTCCCTTCCATACTCTTCCTGGTTCCTTTGCTTTTCTACTACTCCGCGTAATCCACATCTTCCAAATTATTACATCACTCCAATCATATATATCAGGGATTTTTTGTTACACGTTTTCTTCTTGACTTCCTGTCCCTCCTTCCCTGATTTTTAAAAATCCCTCCTTAATAGCTTAATTAAAACAATAGCTTAATTAAAACAATAGCTTAATTAAATATCCCTGATAGGTCTGGCCCCATGGATCAGTTGCCGAGACTGACAGGTCCTGCCTCCCCGCAGCTGTCTAAGTTTCCACCTCTCTAGGGCTTTCTCCCAGCAATCGGAGACTATACCTGTGTGAAGTCAACCTCTTCTGTGCCCTTTTCATGCCTCTTCTGGTTCTGGGAGATGAGTGGGGTGGGGAGCTTGTTGCAGCAGGAAGGGGAGACACCTGCGACTCTTCACCAGTCAGATTCATCTCTGCCTCTTGGCCTCCCTCCTGCTTTAGACTCTGCCTCTGATTCCGGATTCTCTCTGCCACAGACTCTCCCAGATCACTAAGCCCTGTTACATCTTCAGTTTCTGATGCTTCCTCCTCCCTCTGCCCATTCATCATTGCCCCACCACCACTCTCTCGGCTATGAGCCTTCTTCCCTTGACGGTTCCCCAGCTGGTTCCTCTCAGTATTCTGCTGTGTCCGACTAGTCCATGACAATGATGAAGATGCTCTTTGCATTTCCTATCCGTCCAGCCTTGCTGCTTACAATCCCCCCCCCCCCTTCCAACTTTGTGAGAATTTAGGATGATACTTTGTGCATCTCATGAGGTGGACTCCAGCCCAGAAAAGCTTATCCATCAAATAAATGTGTTTGTCTTTTAAATTGCCCCAGGACTCTTTGATGCTGTTGCTGCAACTGACTAACACAACTAGACGCACGAAAATTCTCCCCTATTTCAACACTCAAAAGGACACATTGAACCAGGTCAGGATAACCAAGTGCACTGGGACATCATAAATATTAACTATTTTAAATATGCATATTAATCAGCACTGCTTGGCACATGCCTGCCTTAGGGTTGCCAGCCGACTAGGAAATAACTGGTCAAGCCTGATCCTGCAAATTTAACACATGTTTAATATGCAGAAATCAGCCATGGAGCGAGGAGGGGGAAAGCGTTGCATTGCACTGAGCCACAAAGAAATCATCACTTCCTAGTCCCTGTAGTCAAATAGCAGTTAAACCAGGAAGGGGGTGCCTGGTGCCCTCCAGGTATTCTGGACTCCAGCTTCCATTAGCCCTGGCCAGTATTGCCAATGGCCAGGAATGATGGGAGTTGTGGTTCTGACAACACCTGGGCTACAGGCTCCCTGCCCAATTGAGTTACGTTTGCTGCCACCTGGTTCCAAAGCCAGCAGACCTCAGTTGGTCTCCACATGGCATTCATTTGGGATCTTGAGCTTCAATGGGAAAGAACCTGAATCTGATTGGCTGATGTGTTTGTATGAGCACTTAAGGCTTCAATGGGACCAGGAACACGCATGAAACAATTAGGTAAGGGTCTCTTCAGATGCAGTTCCCCACTTGTGGAATATTTTTGAGGGCTGCCTGGCATGATCATTAACATCTTCTTGGCACTAGGAAAACACTTTTTTCTTCTCCCAGACATCTGATGAATTGGGATGGTTTTGCTATTTATTGACTGTATGTTTTTCTGCAGAAGCTTTTGCTGCTGGTTTGCTGCGTGCATTTTATAGATCTTTGTATTTCTTTATTGAAAAGTGTTATTCTTTTTTATTTTTATTTTACACTTTATGGTCTTAACATTTTGTAAGTCGCTTGGAGGCTCTTTGGGTGGTGAGTGGCTAATAATAATAATAATAATAATAATAATAATAATTTTATTACTTATATGCTGGCCATCTTACTGGCTTTCCCTGGTCACTCTGGGCACCTCCCAACAGAATATTAAAAACACAATAAAACATCCAACGTTAAAAACTTTTCTATAGAGGGCTGCCTTCAGATGTCTTCTAAAACTGGTTTTATTTCCTCAACATCTGAAGGGAGGCCGTTCCACAGGGTGGGTGCCACCACCAAGAAGGCCCCCTGCTTGGTTCCCTGTAACTTCACTTCTCGCAGTGAGGGAGCTGCTGGAGGCCTGAAAGCTAGACCTCAGTGTCTGGGCTGAACCATGGGGGTGGAGATGTTCCTTTAGGTATAATCGGCTAAAACTGTTTAGGGCTTTAAAGGTCAGCAGCAACACTATGAATTGTGCTTGGAAATGTATGGGCAAGCCTGGGGAAACCACGGACAGACGGAGGGAATGTTCTTTACGGAGGTGTTTTGAAATGGCGTCTGATCTTTATGTGATATGATTTTTGGAGACTGTAAAACCCACACAGAGGATGTTTGTTTTCAACCCGCTTGTGATGATTATCAGAGATCACAAGGAAAGGAATATATGATAACAATAAGAAGATGAGGAAAGTAATAAAGAGACTATCTGGACAGAACTGGATAGAACTGTTTAATTAAAGCAGCAACATGAGTGATGTTTGGTTCCCTTTCAGAGCTTGATGTATGGGTACCCCCAACAAAAATTTAAAAATCTGGCGGTATAATTTGGAATTAATGTGATTTGGAATTAATGTGATTTGATTGGCCTGTTAATAAAAATTATATATATATATATATATATATATATATATATATATATACCGTATTTTTTGCTTTATAAGACTCACTTTTTCCCTCCTAAAAAGTAAGGGGAAATGTGTGTGCGTCTTATGGAGCGAATGCAGGCTGTGCAGCTATCTCAGAAGCCAGAACAGCAAGAGGGATTGCTGCTTTCACTGCACAGAGATCCCTCTTGCTGTTCTGGCTTCTGAGATTCAGAATATTTTCTTTCATATTTTCCTCCTCCAAAAACTAGGTGCGTCTTGTGGTCTGGTGCATCTTATAGAGCAAAAAATACGGTATATATGGAAATGTACTGGTAACCATTGCAGGTCTTTCAGGACTGGTGTTATACGGTCCCAGCAGCCACTCCCAGTCACCAGTCTAGCTGCCGCATTCCAGATTAGTTGTAGTTTCTGAG